TCTCTCTCTCCCTCTCTCTCTCTCTCTCTCTCTCTTTTTTTTCTTTTTGTTGAGACTTGTTGCTTAGCTTGTGCTTCATGTTTTTGTTTTTTTTGTCCTTTTCCTCCTTCTCATGCGAGCAGGTCCAATGGAATGTGTGCCACGCACTGGGCAATGTTTTCCGGAATAAGTCGATCAGGCTAGCATCGATGCCCTGGTGAGTGATGACAACAGCTGTAACTATTTTTGGCGAAGACGAGAATATCTGTTGCAGCAAGGAAAGAGTTGTCACCTCTCATGTCTTTTCTATACGCAGCATCACGGTTCTGATTGTGCAAAAACGATGAGGCTTGTTGTTGCGTCAGTGAATGTGATCTCCATCGAACAGCAGAAGCCTCATGAAGCTTTGTAAGTCGGCTTCCTGAAAGTTAGATTTCTATCAGTACGTTCATTATTCAATTTTGCTCCCTGTGTGAGTAGAAGAGGAGGGGGGGGGGAACAGGAAGTGGCATGACATCTTTGTCACTGTCTCAGAGTATGGTGGACAGGATTTACTGCCACCACACTAGACACTTTGATTGTTTGCACGCCAGATTGTTAGCCGTTCGACGTGTCACTGAGTTTGATTTGCTGGGCTCCTAATGTCTCACCCTGAGAGTTTGGGGAAAAGAGGTGCTGATCAGGCCTCTGTCGTTGAATCTAATCTACGGGGGATCATTCATTGTCTTGTTTGGTGTATAGCAGAGTAGTCATGGACGACGACAGTTGGCGTCCCTGGATTGGTCGGCAGCAGAGATGTGATATCACAACTCTGTAACTTGGTCGGCTGCCGAGATATGATATATTTTTTTATTTTTATTTTTTCACTAGTACCTTTCCCGCGTGGGAAAATAGGGAAAACTGTCCGTTTTCCGAAACTCCTGAATCTTCGGAGGTTGGGCCCGACGACGACTGCCATTGATAAATCTGATCGGCGGCCGTTATTTCGTTTCGGCCTCTGAAAAGGTCGGACGCCTACCCGAGGCCCGCTATTTTCCAAGCGGCAAAGGTACTAGTGGTTTAACATGATATGAGCATCTATCTGTAACTTGTTGCTTTGTTGATCTTGAAACTCCTTCGTGAGAAATGACTGCAGAGCAGCAGAAGGTTGATGATTGCGATTTGAATGCTGATAAATGGCACTGTGCGAAGGTACTAGGGGCAGCCATGGTTTTGCTTTCTGCTAAACATTCTATAGAGTAAACAAGAGTGTCACACGAAAAATCCCGTGCACAAACCATTTGGAAATTAGGAAATAGGAAATTGGTGCTGGACTCTGAGGATATAATGCACAGTGGATGCGTGGACCCGAAGTCTGCGAGGCACCGTAGGAAACTGCTTGATGACCCGAGATTTAAGCAAATGCAACTTGATGATGTGCCAGGAGTTGTCCCAAGTGCTTCCCCCGCCCCGCTCTCTCTCTCTCTCTCTCTCTCTCTCTCTCTCTCTCTCTCTCTCTCTCTCTCTCTCTCTCTCTCTCTCTCTCTCTCTCTCTCTCTCTCTCTCTCTCTCTATCTATCTATCTATCTATCTATCTGTCGATCTGTCGATCTCTCGATTGCCACTTTCACTTAAGAAGGAATTTGCCAGCTTGAAGTTGTAGAAAATGAGGAGGATTGGCATAGAGATGTTTTCTTCTGTCCCTTCTGTTTATGACAATTAAGGTCACCGTGTGTATGTCTGCAGGGCTCTGTCGGTCTATCATATCTTGCTTCTGTTATTAAGAAATTCAGCAAACTTTAAGGTCCGCATCCATGCAGCTGCTGCACTTGCTGTCCCACAGCATCGAGAAGGTAAACAGATAATCATCGGAGTGGGTAGGGGATTCAACTGTTCGTTTGTGTTAAGCTTTCCAGCATGCCAAGTATTTTCAAGTTTTTCGGACTTTTTCCCTAGTTTTTTCAAGTTTTTCCCAAGTCTTTCCGAGTTTTTTTCTGTAAGTTTCTGTAGCCTTTTCCAAGTTTTTTCGATGTTTTTCGAGTTTTTCTCAAGCTTTTCCGACTTTTTCCAGTGTTTTCCATCTTTCTAAGACTTCTTCAAGTCTTTTAGTGAGCTTTTCAACCTGGCATTTTCATTTGTCTGCATTATGTACTGTGAATAACTTAATAATAGTCTGTTATCCGTGTGCAACGGGAATGCTCATCATCTACGTCTCAGTCTACTGTTATAGCAGATGTGCTGAAGGAGCCAGCACTTTTCTGTCTGTTGTGTTCGGTTTTAAGCAAGAATTCTGAAGTTGGAGGCAAGACCCTGCCCTCCCTTTGTCTTGAAAAACTTATCGCCTGCAACTAGGGGATGTTATGAATTTTACCGCTCTACTATTCTTGCTATAAATGTTGAGCATGCAATGTCCGTTGTCGCACTGCTTCAGAAGGGACTGGGCAGGGATTGCCACAAAGGGGGGAAGCATCAGACAGACATTGTCGACAGCACTTCATGTGGGCTCACCACCTGCTCCTGTCTCCTGTTGTCTGTCGTGACACAACAGATTATGGCGGAGCTTTCGGGGACATAATGCGGTCACTGACCCATGCGCTGGAGTCGCTTGACTCGGAGGAAGGAAACCAACCCTCTGACTTCAGATACAGGGCGACACTTGTGGAGCAGGTATGCTTTGATAATTTGGGGGGGTACGGGGAGGGAAGGAGGGGGAGGGAAGGAGCGAGAGGGAAGGGCGAGAGGGGAGGAGGGGGAGGTAAGGAGCGAGAGGGAAGGAGGAGAGGGGAAGGAAGGGGGCAACGAGGAATAAAGTGGGCAGGGGAGCGGGGGGGTGTGAAAAGCATGGGGGAGGAAAGGAGTTTTGGGGTTAATATGGGGAGTGGGAGGTAAGGAGCGAGAGGGAAGGAGGAGAGGGGAGGAAGGGGGCAAGTAGGAATAAAGTGGGCAGGGGAGCGGGGGGGTGTGAAAAGCATGGGGGAGGAAAGGAGTTTTGGGGTTGATATGGGGAGTGGATTTCAGTTTGGTGCTTCTTTTCAGCTTTCTGGTACACTCTGCTGTCAAATTCTTTGCACAAAGTGCCTGCCAATAGACTTCGCTGTCTGAGAAAAGTTGGCAGCGTTCGTCCAAATGGATTCTGAGTGGCTATACTATTTGTTTGTTTGCTTGTTGGCCCGTTTATTTGTTTGATTCCGTTGGGTCGAGTGAGTCTCAGCGGCTTGGGTTTGATTTCAGTGTCAACTTGGGTACGATCCCTGGGCTTGGTTGGGTAAAGTGGGGTGACAGTGGAGGGTTGGGTTAAATGCAGTCAGGTGCGGTTAGGTCAGGTCGGCTCAGGTGTGTTGGGATCAATTGCATTGGGGTGGAGTTGGTTTTGGGGTGGGATTCTTTCAAGTTTGTTTGGGTTTGGTGTCATATTTGTGGGCACCATCGTCCATGGCTTTGTTCTGGTTGGGTTCATTCGGGTTGGGAACTTGGGTTGGGAATCTTGGGATGTTGGTGTGTGTGTTTTAACTTCGTTTGTTTTGTTCTTTTTCTCTGTTTGGGCTTCTCGTTTTTTTTTGTTTTTGTTTTTGTTTTTTTAATGCGCTCATTCTGGCCATGTTTGTTTAAGGATGCTTGTTTTATTTGTTTTGCAGTAAATAGTAAATACTAAATACTAAATTTGTACGTTCTGTACATTGTGTTTGTTGCGTCCGTCGTGTATGTTGTGTTGGTTGTGTTTGTTGTTCTGTTTGTTGTGCTCAGAGCCTCAGATTTGTTTTGTTGCTTTTGCTTGTTAACTTTGTGTTATTTGCTTTGTCATCTTTGTCTATTTTGTTTTGCTAAGTTCGGTTTAGTGTTTTTGGTTGGTTTGGCCATGGTGGGTTTTGGTTTTATTCGGGTTTCACCTCACCCATAATATCCAGGCACCTTCTATCC